CAMAMMMCACATATAGTTTCTTTAAAATGGTAGTGTTTTGTTTGTTTTTGTTGCTGTTTTATTGCTTTGTTTTGTTTCAATGTGACTCATATAGACTAATTATAGTGTGTGAAACCCTAAAGTAAAGGAAGACAGCAATTTATCAGTACTCCTTACTGTGACCCAAGAAATACAACTTGTAAACAGGGTAAAGACGTCACGACCCGGAAAAGGACTCGTTCTTTGCACAAAAAGTCTTTCTCCAGGGAAAATGCCTAATTTTTTTAGGCTACGTCACAGTGAAAAATGATGGAAACTATAGCTGTAAACTAGGAAGAGTTCAGTGTTTCTAAAGAAGCAGTTGTGAAATAAGATAAAATATTTTAAAAATAACTTACTGACGTTTCCGATGTTAATCCTTCGTCGTTGTAAAGTGTAGTACGTCACAGTATCGTGCTGCTCGTGCAGCTGAGTGAAAAACCTGAGTGAGAAACTACACATCCCGTGCTACTTTTAATCGAAACGAGTTGTCTGGAATAAACACTAAATATACAGCATATTTGAAAAAGGTTGTCGRAGAAAACTGTACTATACTAACAAGTTACTTTGGGTATTGACCGCTGTCAAACGATGCTCAAAGTAAAAAAAGGTATAGTTTTAATGGCACCGGAACACCTTTGATATTGGTCAGACATTGGCTAGATGTTTGCTGTGTGATTTTTCCGCGTTTTCGCAGATGGGTGAAAAAATTAGTCCATTAGTCGATACACACGTGATACAGTCGAATTCACCTTGYCTTGAGCTGAGTCCAGTTATAATATAAACCCACATAATCTGAAAGCATTCGTTTAAGGCCTTTTTACTTGAATTTTAATTAAATTCGAGATTGTACATGACTGGATATCATACGAAGTGTGAATGAAGGTCCCCACTTCATATATGGCCGATTTATCTACTGGATAAGTATTTACTTGTTAGTCTAAGCTCAGTTAGTCTTCAGGAGTCGGAAATTCGTAGATCCTCACGACATAAGCTCCCATAGTATTGTTCCAATCAGTCATGCTATATTTATTTTTTGAGACGAAGCCCTCAAATATGGAACAAAAAAATCATTAAACGCCGCCCTCGTATAGACGCCACCTTCAATTAGACGCCACATGTGCGGTTACGATAAATCATAAGTAGACGATCAGAGACCGCTAACATGGGCTTCCTGTGGCAACGCGAATTATATCCATAACAGATGGACTTTATGGCCACTATTTTCAAGCCAATCGAGTTGCGTAGCCAAGAATAACTAGAAAGAACTTTTTTTTATCAACGCTATACTAATCATRGTATATGACTCGTGGAACGTGTGCGTTTATTTGTTAGTGATCAGAGTTCTAAGCTTTATTTTATTTTTGTGCCCCTGGTAAAGTCACGAACTAAATTCATGTGCAYGCAAGCTCCCGTCGAAGCTTGCGCCTTAGAAGCAATTATGAAAATCAATATCTGTCAAAAAAGAAAGACCCGAATTGGTTTAGTTTGACATCTCCGTGGAAACGGAGACTGCAGACGGTAGGCAACGCAGGCGCTCCCCATTTGTTGCATAAAATTTACCTTCACAACCACCACGACGAAAACTCRGCAGCAATCCTAAKCATGGTCTTCMTGTGGAAGCAATTGTGACAATAAAGCCTGACGCAAAGAGTACAGTGATAATTAAAACTAATATTTACAGTGATGCAAATAACCATTGCATTTTCATTAGATTTGTTACTGTTGTCACAGGGTATGTAGATCATTTCAAAAAATACGCCGCCATATTGAATACACACAGCAATTGATTCAAGAGAAATTAATAAACACCGCGGCGTTTTTATGAGTTCTTACTGCCAAATGTAATCTATAATAACAAGTACTTCACCTAATTAAGTTTGTAGTTTAGCTATAATTGTTTGTAGCTGTTGCTATCGAAATTAATCACTAGTCCACTTGTAAAAGTCACCGAGCAAATCGAATTAGCAAATTGGCGCTCGAATTYCCGCGCGCTTTTGATAATGCTAGAATCACCAAAGCGTGAAAGAGTTATTATGAAAGAGAACTTTGCATCAATTAATCGATGTTTTGTGAACACCAAGCGTGTTGTTGCAGAGCGAGACTTCGATATTTTCCAAATACACTCCAAACACGTTTATGGCTATTTGTGAACGTATCTGGTGATAATGATTTAACTCAAACGACTTTAAAAACTTTTATCCGAAAAAAAGGTTGAAAGTTGGTTGGACTGAATGTATATCTGGCAAGTTTCCGCGATTTCAATCCCATTATGAAGATATTAGCTTTTTTTCTAGTTTTCCTGGCTACATCCTGCATGGCCGATCTAGACAAGAAATTCATGTGGAAATTTAGACAAAGAGACGACAATTTATGTGGAGGAAGCGATCAGAACTGCAGAGAATGTCTACAGCAAAGATCATGCAGCTGGTGCGCTGTGGATGATGATTCTTATTGCATTCCAAGCGCCCTTTGTCCAAGWAGTCTTCAGCATTCATCATGTCCAGACGACACAAACTTAGAATCCCAACTTCAAAATTTACCCCAAGAAAAGCAAGTGATCTTAGATGTGCCTCAAGTGACTTTGAGCGCCAGTTACCTCTGTAATTTGAAAAGAAATTGTACAACGTGCACAAGACTTGGCTATTGCGCATGGTGTAATGTTAAAAATACCTGTGTCCCGTATTTTGGATCCAACACGACGATTTTATGTGGAAGCGAATCATGGTCTAGAGATAAATGCCTCAGTGGAAAAGGTTGGTATTAAAACTGCAGTTAAAATTAGTAAATTACCGCGCAAAACTGTAGGAGAATTTSAATCACTGATCTGTAGGTTTTGTAAACACGATCTTATATACGCAGCATTATATTGTAAACATGACCTTTAGATAAAAGTTTCGTTTTAGTGATAGTCGAATTTTCTTCACCATAAAAAAAAAATCAATGAATACGAAAACTGTTGATGGGACAACTAGAAACGAGGTCAAGCATAAAATAATGAAGCCCAACTTTATTATCGATACTACTTATAATATCCTAAAAAAAATATCTCTCACTGTTGACTTTTAACAATTTACTCAAATGATAAGAAAAATYATTATCTTACGCACTTCAAATGTTACAAGAATAGCTAAAGGAATCTAAAAACAGTMATGTTTGAGGTAACGCGCCAAAACCGCGTCGCTTGTCATGGTCTGCGAATATATAATGACCTATAATGCTATCTTCAATGAAGCATAAAAATAACTTGTTTCTTCATAATCCGCGAAGAACAAAGGCTGTCTGAGACGACGTCGAACGAACAATGTTGACTGAGTGATCCCGAGTGAACAATACAATCAAAATCAATGCCCACACAAGCTTTCGGTCATGTATTCTTCGTCTTTCTGTCAACCTTTTATGCTGTCGAACCCCTTACATGGCTTATAAGAATCGTCTTATTCGTCAAAATAAAAAAATTACATTCTAAATGCAGTCTGTTTACCGATATTCGTCTTCGATGTAAACATTGCTAATTATTCTAATTTTCAATGTTTTGAATGAGCRAAAGAACACGAATAAAAATTCCGAAAAGGATTATGGTATAGTTTGAGGGTTTCAGTCCATTCGTTAACATGTAAACCTATATCCTTTCACAGAAGCTCTAAGCGCCAAGCCCTGTTCTCTACGGAAATCAGGATGCAAGGAATGYGTRGCTGATGAGAGTTGCTACTGGTGTGACGCACCCAAATCCTGCCGAYATTACGAAGGGGGTGGGGTTAAACCCGCTAACTGCACCCCAGGTAACTGGTATTACAAGGACTGCTCTAATCCAAAGGCTATTATAGTACTGCTTCCRATCCTCGTGATYATGGCTACCCCTATCATCGCCTATCTTGTAATGTACTGTGTCTTGTGTATTATGAAAAGTGCGGGGTATAACGTYGGAAACTCTTCCGAGACGAGCGATGACGAAGAYAAAGTCCGAAAGCCGATTATGTTACGACACGACTCGCCCGGAAGTAAGACTGACGAACTGAGAAAAAAGTACGATCTTCATAAAAAGCCATAAAAGTATAAAACAAACTCTAATTCACTTGCTGCTATTAATTTTTTTACGAAAACATATTGTTAAAAAGCATCCATTGCGTGAATAAGTTTTGAATTATGATTATTGAGATAATTTCAGTTTATTCCTACTTTTTAGAGGGTTTCAAGCAAGAGAAATCTAGATAAAAYCGAGTTGTTATGGTTTGAATGTTTTCACTTGAATGCAATTTTTCAAATTGACTCTACAAAATTAGCATTGAGTACAAACGATAGGCACTGAAACATCGCATGGATTTACATATAGGCCTCTACCATGACATCTCCATTAACCCAAGGTTTGGTAAATGAATATTAAAAAAATCTTGAAATATATTATAACACCAAGTGTAATGATCCTAAAGTAGACAGTTTATTCAGCTTATTTGAATAAAACCTATATATATATATGTACTAGCATTCATGTTCAAAGTTGACTTAACAATTGATTTGACAAGCTGCAAGTCAAACCTGTCCCATCAGGTTCAGAGTTAATGTGTGTGACCTTCCCATTCTCTATCACCAAGGAATACCTGTTAAAATATAAATATTGGCATTAACTTACCAAGTAGAGAGAGTGATTTTCTGTCCTCAGTGAAAGAAGGCTTTAAGAATGACACCCAAAGACTTTGCTTTGATTTTTCAGTCATTTTATCAGCAAGAACAACAAAGTCTTTCACTAACTATACAAAAKCAATCAAATTTTCCTTTAGTTGTTATGACAATTCAAATTCGCCTCTGTACAGCACACTTCCAGRCTGGTCCCATTTCTGCTTCCCCCTGATGTCGCTGTTGCCACCTCATTTCAAGGATCTTTTCCCTTTGTATCATGGATCAGAGACAAGAAAGGGGTTGGTATCAAATTTGTTTACCATTGTGATAATCATACAATTATTATTTTTAGAAAAATACTGCTGCTATTTTCACCTTTTAGAACGGACATTTCCTAAGAATGGTGTTGCATCTAGTTCCATGTCTACAGCCTGAAATATGAAGAAAAACATTTTTACTCCATCTTGAAGAAAAAAAGAACAAATTTCGTTTTTATCTTTTAAGGAACCTACCTTTGTAAAAGCTCCATGGGTGTCTGCAAGCATGCGGATCTATAAAGCAATGGATAGGACCACTAAAAAAACGTTTTGAAAAATATTTTATGAATAAAACTTTTTTCTACCATTGCATGAGATAATTAAATGTATATACTTTCTTATAAACCCAAGTACATCAATACATACATCTATGAACAAATATTCACAAGCCGACTTTTTTATGTGAAAGTTGATTCAGAAATTTGGGATCCCTCTGGTATCCCTTTGGCTGACCAGGATCATTATCCCTTGGACACGTATGGAAGATAGGGAGCCAAAGTAATTTCAAGAAGGAGAGAAAGATGGCTGTAAAGGAGACTGTGTTAATTTTACCTTTCCAGAGGCTCCATTGGCCTCTCCCCAGGCTGCCATCACAAACGGGTCATTCACTGAGATACAAGCAATAACTTCAACACCTTTTTCCTGATTAAAACAAACAGTAACAATCAATATAGACATCACCTAACAACACCTATTTGKGWTCCTAACAAAGGTTGCAGAGGAAATTWCAATTATTGCAATTTGGGCAAGAGGATTTTGTTTATATATGMCTGCCAAAKGGAATTTGCAGCAGTCACCTTTCAAGACAAAGACATCACTTAGTCAAGTGACTTGTTCCTCACTTTTAATGATGCAAATACAAAAAAATGGAAGAAATTATCTAATGAAAAACTATATTAGAATACAAAACATAAACCATTTATGGCTTAAATGTCTAGCACAAATAATAATAATGATAATGTACAATACCACTTACCACTAGTTTGCTGTAATCTCCAACATATCCAGGAAGATGTGTCTGGAATAAACATACAAACAGTATAAAGCAATGGGTTTCTTTTATTTGTGTTTACCTTATGAATTATTAATGAATTTGATAAATGCCTTGGGAGTGCAATAATTGATAATTGCTACTACAATTATATGATCTATAGTTATAATTAACTGCGTTTAGCCTTTTGTTTTTGTTTTTGACATGACTTAAGGGGTTATGTTACAAGTAAAGAATTCCCAAGAGAGAAACATCAAAGTTTGGAGGCTGCAAATGGAATAACACTAAAAAATCACATGATCATGTACCTTTGAGCAGCCAGGAGTRAATGCACCAGGTACTGCAAACAAAACTCCTTTTTTCCCTTCAAATAACTTTGAAACATCAACCGTATCTTTTGGYGTCCCCTCCATTACCTCCACTTGTGGGATAGCATCTCCAACCTGTACATTTTCATCGAAATATTGGAACAGTAAGTTATAAAGAAGGGGGAATCCAGGTTCAGAAACATTGATAAAATAAATAAAACAGGGCAAAAATCCAACTTCTCATCACTTTTTTCAACTTAAATAAAATGCGCATAGAACCTTGTTGCAATATTGCATAATATTATTTATACAACTTTTCAGTAAAATCAGACGTTTTGATTGGTTGGCTTTCGTGTGTTATCAAAGTATAGATACACGGATTACRTCAAAACTAATTGTTTGTTGTATAAAACAGATAGATCTCATTTTTCCGTGCGTGTGTACTCTAATAAATACACAGATGACGTCAAAATGTAGTSAGAACAACAGTCACGCACTCGACTGCGTCTCRTGCGTACTTTTTTGTTCTCACTACATTTTGACGTCATCTGTGTATCTATTAGAGTACACACGCACGGAAAAATGAGATCTATTTGTTAAATATACAATACCTCGTTATTATGCATGACCTGTTTGAGTTTAAGCGAGCTTATGCTATTAATATAATGCCTTTGTATATCTAGTCGAAAACTGTGCAATTGTGTACATTCATACCTTAATTGGCATGGCTGTGATTGCTGATGTTCGAATATTTCYACACAAGAAAGTTCCGGCTGCAGAGAGACACCTTCTGGAGATAGAAAACATGGCCTTCCACAATCAATCGATAATTGTTCGTCGCCAAAAACTCGACAAATGTTCGGCCTAGCTTTGTACATTACGTGAAGAAATATTGAATTTGTATATTTGGAGAGGGGAGGTACGTATTTTATATGTTGTCTAATTGTTATCTTATCTTTTCTTTATTGTCTTGGTTTGTGCATTATGTTTTTAAGATTATTTATATTTTTCTTGATGTGAAAATTGTATCTTGTCAGCGGTTTTGCGCATGGCAAGTGGTATGTGATACCGGCAAAGTTTCCTCGTGTACTACAGTGTGAATGACACGATTGTTTTCATCCAGTTCGATCATTTTGAGACTTCTTTCTTCAAGAAACATCACAAGTAATCATCTGAGGAGCTCAAGGCGTTTTTTCGTGAATTTTGTGCCTGGCCTTGCCATTCATTCAAAAGATCGAATAAATCATTTTGCAAGTCGCCATAAAAATTTCTTAAATTCCGCTGCAATGGCTAGCAAAGGGGAAGACGTTCTTGCAAATCTAAGAAAATCCGTGAAAGAGCAGGTATAGGTCACTTTYATTTTATTTTATATCCCCGTATTTTTTGGGATCACACTGAAAATTATAAATTATAAGTTATTGTTCATRCAGAATGTATCCTTATTTGGAAACATTGAAATCCGTTCAAGTTTTCCCGGGAAAATTTAAAGATGATCAGTTGTATCTTAAGCCTATGTACGCTCAGATAGATTATTTGGTAATCAAAGTAATGTATAACGAATTGAAAATTTTGATTGCTCGATATTATTGTCATTTGCGGAATATAAATTTTAGAGACCCCTCAAGTATTGCATCATCCTCTACTATTTAAGGATGAAAATATTTTAACGAAAGTCACTTAATACTAGTGAAACAAACGGAATATTTGATACTTATAATAAGTATATGTAATGTGAACGTATCTTTGAAATAAAATCTTCCTAAATAAATTCACAAATTTAGTGATTATTCATTTTTTTATAGCCATTTATCATTATGCATTTATTATTATTGTTGTTTTATGACATTTTCAATATTCTTTCTTTTTTTCATTTATTTTTGTTTGGTAGGGTGATTTAGTAAGGAAGCTAAAGGAAGACAAAGCTCCTGCAAATGATATTGATGTTGCTGTTAAAGAGCTCAAAGCAAGGAAAAAAATATTGGAAAAAACAGTAGGTTTTTCCATCRCTAAATATATCATTAATAGTTATTTAAATTTATCAGAAACATTTCATTTTCTTGTTTAGGAAAAAGAAATGGCACCTCAAGATGAAAAATTTGACAGATCCAAACTTGAAGACTTGCTTAAAAGAAGGTTTTTCTTTGTTCCYTCTTTTGAGATTTACGGAGGTAAGACATACATTGTCTTTTTATAATCTTTCACTACTATTTTTATTCTGTATTTCAATATTCATAATCTTTTAGTAAACCTTAGCCATGATACAATATAGATATTAGCATAATATAATGATTGTCATTTTCATTAAATTCTTTTGAGTGGATTTTTATGTTTTGCCCATAAGACATTCCCTTACTGTGAAAGTTTGATYGCTTTRTGTTTTGSCATAATTAGGTGTTGCAGGGCTKTATGATTATGGACCGTCRGGATGTGCCATGGAATCAAACATGCTTCAGTTATGGCGRTCWCATTTTGTACTGGAAGAGCATATGTTGGAAATAAGAGCTGCATTGCTAACAACACATCCAGTCTTAAAGTGAGTTACATAATTGACATAATGAAGAATATTGRCATCTCGAAGCTGAAGTGACMCACTAATGTTGTGAACATACACACACAGTGTCTCGGCGTTGATCATTTCATCTTCAAACGTAAATCTTTAATAGTTTGAAGACCAGCTTGAAATCTTAGATCACTTAGAACTTGAAGAGAACTGCAACAGTAGCTCAACGACATATGTTCATATGTCAGTCATATGAAACAACATATTACAATAGTCATTTAAATAAGTCTTATATTGTCTTTAGGGCATCAGGCCATGTTGAACGGTTTGCTGATTACATGGTGAAAGATATGAAAACTGGTGACTGTTACAGAGCAGATCACATTCTAGAAGGTTTGTATAGAGCAACTACAAGAGAAACAAATAATGTGTACTGTGTTTTAWCTTCAGGATGGTTATTTAGTTTGACTATTTCAATTGTTTATATTTAGGACATTTAGAGAAGTTATTGTCAGACAAGAAAATAACTGAAGACAAAAAGGCAGAGTATCAAAGTGTTGTAAACAAGGTAATATAGCTCACTATCAAGAATTGATGACAAGGCTTAGGGGAAAGCATTAGATAATTCTTATGGAAAGCCTATCAATCTAATCTGTTAAATATCAAAATTCAGATTGACAACTACAACATGAATGAGCTTGGAGAACTGATCAAGAAATATGAAGTAAAAGCTACTTTAACGGGGAATGACCTTTCTGAACCAACAGAATTTAATCTGATGTTTTCTACTTCCATTGGACCAAGTGGTTTGATTCCAGGGTAAGAAATTCAGTTTTTTCCTTGAATAAACTTAGACTTTCTTCAAAGTCTTTTTCTACAGTAGTTTAGTAATGAAACTACAGAACTCACAATAACATACAGTGTTACATATACACTTTTTATTTGCAGTTTTCTTCGACCAGAAACAGCTCAAGGCATCTTTGTGAACTTCAAACGTCTTCTTGAAGCAAATAATGGAAGGTTGCCTTTTGCTGCCGCTCAAATTGGACCTGCCTTTAGAAATGAAATTTCACCAAGAGCTGGTCTTCTTAGAGTGAGGTACAGTAACTGACAGGACAAGTGMRAAGTYCACCTCCATTACTGGCAGTTTTCACTTTTGCTTGTTATTATACTTTGATGTTATTTTATTTTTTTTAAGTTTTTTTCTAATTTAAAACAGGGAATTCACCCTTGCTGAGATTGAGCACTTTGTCGACCCCTCAGACAAAAGTCACCCAAAGTTYCCCAATGTTAGTGATCTTAAAGTGATTCTTTACCCTGCCAAGAATCAGATGGATGGTGAACCAGCCTTTGAAACAACTCTTGGTGATGCTATGAACAGGGTAATGCAACAGTTAAACAGCTTTACTCTTGCTGAGCGGAGTATTTCAAGGACACAGTATTCATCAACTCATTGATTGATCATTGATAATTTCAGCTATTCTTCATTCTATCCATTTATTCTTTCTTTCATTTGTTCATGCATTCATCCATCTTTTCATTCACTTAATATTCATACTTTGATTCAAGAAAGTGCTTTTAGTACGAGCGCACAGTATTCATCAACTCATTGATTGCTTATTGATAATTTCAGCTATCGTTCATTCTATCCATCTTTTCATTCATTCTTCCTTTCATTTGTTCATCCATTCATCCATCTTCCATTCAACTATTCATACTTTGATTCAATAAAGTAGATATAAATTCACAGTAAACGGTCAGACTATCAAGCATACAAAGTCAATAATGAGAGTTAAAATCATTGCAATGATYTGTTTTTCTTGCAGAATATTATTAGCAGTACCACAGTKGCYTACTTCATTGGTCGTGTGTGGTTGTTCCTTGTCAAATGTGGCACAGACAAAACCAAACTAAGGTTTAGACAACACATGTCTAATGAAATGGCTCACTATGCATGTGATTGTTGGGATGCTGAACTCAGGACGTCCTATGTAAGTTGTTGTTTTACAACCAGGTATCGTTTTGCARTGTGGAGAACGTAAACTCAAAAAGCAAAGAAATGAAAATGGTTCATAATGATTGAACGTCAATATACAATGACTGGACTAAAGACAATATATTATTCTTTACAAGGGAAAGTCTCTGTTTTTAGAAAACTGAGGAAAGCTTTCATAAGAAAAAAGTTTTATTACTGTACGACAAAGAACCAACGACCGATTGAAACGTCAGTTGGTTCTGACTACKTTTTACAATGARYAATTTTATCATTTARTCGCRAWTRTTCATTAGAAACATTGACAYACCTGCAGTAGCACTAGATATATCTTCTTATTGAATTAACTGTTTATTTTTCCTTATCCTTCAATAGGGTTGGATCGAATGTGTCGGAATAGCAGACCGTGCTTGCTATGACCTAACCCAGCAYACTAATGCAACAGGGGAAAAACTAGTGGCTCAAGTTGATCTTCCAGAACCAGTATCCTTTTAATTGTGCTTGCTGAACGCAAGTAAAACAAACATCAGCTGGGCGCACTATCAAGAAGTATTCCTTTGTGTTGGATACATACTAGTAGCATTTTAATGGTTGAATGTCATCTATTTGGAGTGAATTGTAAGGAACTCTCCCTTATTGAACGTTATTTCTGACGTTACTTTTGAAAATTCCAAGCTATGGACTAAAGTACTATTTATTCGAAAAGTGTGCGAGTGGCTGGCATTCAGCTTACCTTTTGAACGTTTAATGAAACCATTTCTTTATGAAATGACTATRTTTCTTACGCGCAAAACTCATACGCAAGTCCAAACATAAGGTCGACTCATCCCTAACAATGTTWACCAGATCAAAGTGGATGTGCTTGAAATAGTGCCTGAGAAAGCTGCTCTCGGGAAAGCATTCAAAAAGGAAGCTAAAGTTGTAATGGAGGCTTTGGCAAAGTTTGATAACGAMAGCGCTTCAAAGATGGAAGAAGATTTTAATCAAAATGGGTAATTATTAGTATGTAACTGTATTAATCGTTTTGTTATTGTGGTGTTGGGTGGGGTCGTGGTAATGGTGATGATGATAATCAAAATGATGGTGATTTCTCGACGTGGCAATGGAGAAGTTACTTTTGATAACTAGCTCGCTAACGAGTTTCTGGTTGAGCTGATTCATTAGTTCAGCATTTTTTTACGTGTGATTTCTAGCTTAACAAAGGAACTCCGCAAATGTGCGTCAAAAAATCAGAAAATTTTCCCACCATTTGGTTGTGACTTGGTACATATTGTACAAAGTTTTCTTCACRCCACATATTGAAGACGTACAATTTAAAAATAACATGTTTTTTAGAGAACACACTATAAATGTGAATGGCAAAGACTACATTATCCAGAAGTCTATGGTCAAGGAAATAAGACGTTACAAGAAAGATGTTCATGGTAATTACTTATGTTATACGGTCAACCCCATTATAACGGACACCGTGACTAAAASTCTGTTCGCTTGCAGAGCGTCTTAGTACATGTCCGTTTCCATTTCTATGTTCAATACACTGCTTGGAAGTTAATTCAAGTTAAGGATGTTATCTGTTTTTGTTTTCAGTTCGTGATGTGGAGCCACACGTCGTCGAACCATCGTTTGGAATCGGACGAATTATGTACTCTATTTTAGAACACAATTTCAAAATACGAGAAGGAGATGAACAAAGAACGGTATATTAATCTCTGTTGTTCATTTGTCTATCACAGTACTCACTGTGTGTTTTTTTTTCTAGTGGCTGTCACTTCCACCCATCGTAGCGCCAGTCAAGTGTTCAGTTTTACCCCTCAGCAAACAGAAAGAGTTTGATCCATTTGTGAAACAGCTTTGTAAGTATGCACACCGCGAACTAGTTTAGATCTAGCTGGCTAGTAAAGCTACAGTACTTTTGCAAAAGGCTATCGGGAGAGGTTGAAGAATGCACGACCAAACATTTCCCTTCCCATCCCCCCTCTCTTTCCCTCTTCCCCTCCCCCCTGTGGGCTGGGACGGATTCAGCGGTACAGCACAACCTCTAACGCCGCAGCTTTACTTAAGTTATTAGAATTAAATTAAATTTTTTGAGTTCAAAAAAGTAACGTGTATTGATTCTTATGGGTACTTTTAAATGGTTAAACATAAGATTTGTACAGAAATTTCGACCCCAATGTGGACTGTCTTCAAAGCAACATTTTGTGTATTGATTCTTTCTATTTCTATCTGTTGGCAGCTGTCGCTTTGACTGATTTAGATATATCACATAAAGTGGATGATTCCAGTGGATCCATAGGAAGGCGATATGCCAGAACTGATGAGATCGCGATCCCTTTTGGGATAACTATTGATTTTGACACCGTGAATAAAACACCGCACACTGCTACCGTTAGAGAAAGAAACACAACGCGACAGATAAGAGCCGAGGTTTGTAGATACATACCCTCTTTCATTATGACGTCACAGCATGTTTACAGTGGGGAAACAATTTGCGGAAGCAATGGAATTTTAAAATATAAAATCTATCAAAAGTGTTAGTTTTGAATTGCTCTTTGTGTGATAACCACATTCCCCGTATTGAATTGTTCGAAATAATTGTGCCGTTGCACATAGCCATTGATAACGTATCATATTTGTTGTTGTTTTTATACTAACATAAAATTCGTTCATTTTACAGGTCAGTGTTGTTCCTCAGCTTGTAAGTGACCTGGTCCGTTCAAAGACAACTTGGGAAGAAGTCGAAAAGAATTATGGGCTTTTTGAGGGTCAAACCACTGGCAAATAAAGTAACAAGCTGATGCTTTTAGAAAATGATGTTAAATTAAACACGAAATAATTATATCAAATTCATAATGTTATGAAGAGTGTTTTCTTTTAATTTATAGATGAAAACAGTGCAAAGATAAGTTCTTTGTACGGATACTAACTCTCGCATTTTAATTTCTTGACCGAAACATTCCACGCTTACTAATCTACATTGCTTAAAAGCTTTTACGTGTTATCATCAAGTCCATGTTTATGAAGTTGGCTTTTTTTTGGAAAATAACTCAACATAATTCAAAATGAGATCCATTCTTCAGTTAAGAAGAATGTAAACGGATAAAACTTTATTTCTAATTCTTGCATAAACACTGCAGTATTAGCTCATAATGACGTAATATTTGCGGCATTAGGGTGGGGGAGGGGGGGGGGAATTCCTGTTTACCTGTACCGGCCATCCCACTGGATCCGCTTGCGGATATAAGCACACTGCTAACCACGACCGACTTTGCGCTCACAAAAACCCGTTTTGTACGTTGATGATCACAAACATATCTATGGAAGAAAAATAAAAGATTGGGTTTCTGCGAACAGATCTACTTTTTTCACCCGCCATTTTTCTCTTCGCTTTCGGCCAGGGGAGAAAAATTGGGTCTGTTTAAAGAGTAATATTAATCGAAGCTGGCACTTCGAAGCTGAAAAATTTGTGAAAATGGCGAAAATGTAGAAGTCTTTTAAAAACTGAGGATTGTTGAAAAACGGAAACATCCCTTAATAACCTTAAACAGTTGTTTTGTTTTAATGTAATTATGTAACTCATTCGTTAAATATTAACTGTGGTCATGCAAATGGGAGACGTTGACAGTCATTTACAAATCTAAGGGCTTTTTCAGCTGGAACAGTCATATCATATTGTATAACTATGCAGAACCTAAGTAGGTCTTCTTCTACACTTGTCGGTCTGCGACAGCTGCCGACCCGACCACAATGTTATAGAAAGCCAATTTACATATTTTTTTATTAATAATTTACAAAATGATATATTGAGAATCAGGTCTCGTGCTTCTCCCTAAAATCTTTGAATAGCATGGAATCGAAGGGTACTTGAAAAAGAAAACACTGTTTCAAAAGATACCTTCTTAAAAAGGGCAGAAACTTCAAACGATATTTAGGAAATAGCCCTTGAAAATCCTTTTATTTTTCTTCTTAAGGTACTTGGAAAGTCCTGGAATTTTGTGATAAAAAAACAAGTACGAACGTTGTGAAAACAATTGGCTAACAAAAGATCGCAGTGTCATTTTCAACCTAGAAAGCTTCCCGCTGAGATGCCCTTTGTTATGTTCTGAAACTGACAATTAAACATAACCAAAGCAGACTGCAACGGACGCTAAAACGACTAAGTTTCACGAACGGAGACTATTAGACTATGTAGTTCGTCAATCTATCAATTTCATGTATAGATTTTGACACTTCTATTTGAGGAAAATGTTTATATGACAGAGAATTTGGTATGGACGTCCCGACGCTTTGCATCAAGACAGTTTTGATATTGTTCGGCCTCCTCAACCACCAAGTCAGCTCTCTTGATATAGTAGCGAATTGTGATGACCTGAAATCTTATACTAAAGGTAAAATAATATCCGGCTTCGTACAAAGTTTCCAAACTGGAAATACGATGAGTTTAATTGACATTTTATGTTAATTTTTGGTGTTTTTGATACGATTTAGTTCTTTTTTATTATTATGATGTTTTTTAGTATTATGAAGATCATTCACCAATCTTTGGTAGTTTATACCTTGTTAAGTTTTTCAGTTTTCTTCACTAGAATATGCTAGAAGAGTCAGTCGTCCATATTGAATACCCACAATGCTGTTCGATCGTCTCGTATTCTTAGATAAGTGCATGATTCAAAARGTTTTAACTGTTATTAGGTACTTTATACGACAAGGCTGTTCACTACTGGCCTTTAGTATCTTTGTCGATGCTAGGCGATGCCATAACATGCCAGGATATACTTCAAATGTATGGAATTCCGTCCGCTGTGTCGTTAGTCAGCGGTTTCTATGGTATTACGACAAATGGTCTCAGTGGATTACAACTGCCGACATCCAGTCCAGACGAAGGGTGCTTCAAAAGTTTCAGCAACTGTACTGAAGGTRAGTAAGAGCACAAAACTGACAATAGTAATATACGATAGCCACTGARCCATGTGGTATTGGCTGGGAATCACATACTGAGCATGCGTAAAATAGCTCAGAACTATGATCTTATCATAAATATGATTTTTTAGGTTTTTCTGTAGCATTGTGGATAAATCTACAACCATCTAGTAAACTACATGCAAGTGCATTTGATATTGTCATAGCACCACACGACACTTTAACTTCAAAATCAGGATTTTGGCTCATTGATGATCACACAAAAGGATTGCAAGCATCTGTTCGAACAAACACTTACACAGAAACGACTACCATCCCAATAAAGAGAGCTGTTTGGAATCACGTGATAATCACGTGGACAGCTCATGATAACATCACATTTTACGTCAATGGTGAGATGGTAAGCAATACCTCATTTTAAATCCCAGCGCCATCTTGGAATTAAGGTGGTCAAATATTTTCATATCAAATCGAGACATTGGCTGATTTTGCGCAGTTATAAATACCTGTGGTTATTGTTGGTGTGAAAAAAATGCTATTTATCCCCCTTATTTCACAACAAATGTAGACCATTGTGGCATTCCAAAACAAAAATTATTCTGTGATATGTCATTTTTTCCTGGACAGTCGTAATCCTATGGTTTTCCACTGATACCATATATAAAATCTCTCCTAGAATGATAAAAACAGCACCTTTACGAAAGTTATCAGGACAACTGACCTGTCATTAGGTCTGTATTTGTCGTATTCTACTGTGGCAGGCAAATCATCGGCAAGCTACAGAGACYTCGCTATTTGGAACCAACGTCTTAGCGAAAAAGACGTCCTTGAAATCTACCAACATACGCCTGGTACGTRAACTTATGGAGATACAGRACCCACYTCTMAGTCTTGACTTAACAACAGTAGATTTTTGGCTTCAATAYTTTGTCCCCGGTGCCCCAACACCTATTGAGCAGTAAATTGTTGTTGTTGTTTTATTCTATAAATTACAGATTGTAAAGCCACACTACACACTTCTATATTTGTAAACATGCCGAGTGAAAAATTTAAATACTGTTCTTCAGAATCTTCCTATTTTTGCTTTATGCATTGTAGTTTTTCTTTTCTTTTATACGTATCTTGTCCACACCATGCTTTACTYYTTGGATATTTTTTCAGGATGCCAGGAAATCGATCCAAGCCTGTGGAATTTGACGGCGTCTTCCTTTGCGGACCGCTACACTGCTTCCTTTGGGGCCTTTAATTCCAAGACAGCATGGTGCGAGGACCCTGCTTTGAGTGGTGGCTTCATTGAGATTCAACTACCTTTTGTACATCACAGTACGTATTRATCACGCAACGCGCGCGTAAAAACGCACTGATTACTACGTAAGAAGAGAGTTGAAATAATATTCAATAATGTTTATATGAATTGAAAAAGAAAAGAAGAGAAAACTGATCAAAATAATGTAAAATGAATGTATAGACAGTTGAATGAAGGAACACGTGAAGAAAATGTATGAAACTTGTAAGTCTTTAAAGAAAGAAAACGGCATTGTATTCATAAACTTGCTATTTTTTGGTAGTTGATGGAATTGTAATAAGAAGCAAAGATTTTGGTGCRCAAGAATTCGTCAAAACATTTAAAGTGAAATTCTCTGTTGACGCTGTTAGCTGGCRAGACTATAAAGTATCTGGAGCAATCAAGGTGACAGTATTTGTGACTACTTTTATACGAACATGCACAATTCGATAATGTCTAATTTTTTTATACATCATCCAAAGACTTTTTCAGGTTTAACCAGCTCTGGTACTCTCAAGAAAATAGACATTACCAACCCAATCATTATAGCGCGATATTTTCGTATATATCCCACGGCAGCACAGGGTAGAAATTGTTTRAGATTGAGGCTTTGTGGTTTTGAACAAGGTATTGATTTATGGATTATTAATTGATTTATTAGATTGTTCGAGTTTTTGGTTCTTTGTATTATCGACAGATTTTGATGAAGAAAGTTATCMCGTTCTCTTTTCGACWGTAATTTCARTCTTTATTTTCCACAGATTCACTCAATATATCAGCTTCTATTAATGGCACATGTAGTGTCAAGGTTTGTATATACATTTATAAAACTTATTAATAATGCATAAGCTATTGCTCCAATAAGGGCTGACCATTTAATCAGGTGATTGACCTTGTAAATCTGATACAACCACTAGTGGTTGTATCAGATTTACAACACGGTCGTCACCATTGAGACAACCCAACACTAGCAAAGGTCTCAGTTTTAGTGTCGCATCATAGACCTTCACTAGGTTTTGAAGCAATCAAAGACGGATAACAGAACTCGCTTATGCAACAGATGGCTTGCTTTCCATGTGGGATGGATAATTATTCAAAATATTCTGTGTTGCAATAAATTGCGCATGCTTAATAGGGACTAAACTCACCAGTTACCTTATTTGTCATTTTTCGTCATTTATCTCACTGTAATTCATGTTAATTTGTGTTGGAGTTTTATAAGTCGTTTACAACATGAGCGGCCGTGTTGTATGGGAATTACAATCTCGAGCCGCATATACGTATATACAGCCTTTTGCAAAAATTATGAGAATTGTCTAAATATCTAAATATCATAATATCCATATCCATATATTGTCCGGAACACGCGGGTTTGCTAAAATAATTCATTGTTGACATCGAGAAAATGTTCAGAACTACGGATAAGTCTGTCGCCAAAAAAAAAAACTAAACTACAAAGACAAGGGACTAAGGGCATCGCGCGAGATTACCCACCATGCACTCGATATTATGATATTTAGATATTTCAACAATTCTCATAATTTTTGCAAAAGGCTGTATAGAGTTTTATTATATAAATGACTCGCGCTCTGATTGGCCAAAAAAGTGTGGTTTATGAGAGTATAAACCACGATTGTGCGCAAGCGATTTTTGAAAAAGGTAACAAAATGGATTTTTGCTTTATTTTTTGCTCAAAATCTATATAATAAAACAAATAAACAAGTCTCAGCCTGTGGTTTATACCTTGATAAACGCACGCTTGGCATTTGAAACACACTCAAACTGTCAAAAATGTCCAAAAGCATGCTCGCTTTTTGACATTTTCTCGTGTGTTTCAAATACCAAGCGTGCGTTTATCAGAGTATAAACCACGGCTGAGCCTTATTTTTTGTTAATATTAAACTTTTTTTTTTCAAAAGATATCTATTCAATGCTCATTAATTTATAACAACCACATCGCCTCTCTTTTCATTTTTATCTGCTTTTATCTGCACGTTACCGAACGCGTAAAGCAAAACYTACGCAATAACTTTGTACTGATATCTATGGATCTTTGTTTCTTTATAACATGTATTGGCATTGATTCCTGTTTTACCTTACGTRAGAATTACGTAGGTCACACGAAAAGCACCTTATACGTACAACTGCGCATCTGTTACACTGCGAACGCTTTTTTTATGGACTACATTTTCAATATTTCCGTATTGCGTACGTCATGCATATGACGCACCTTACAATTGCGTTTCCGTACGTTACATCAGATCTTTGTTTATCATTCCAGGTCAATAACAAAGAGTATTGCCCGGACAAAGATGGTCATAATATTGTGGCATTCGATTACAAATCAGGGAAATTTCTTGCTGCTAAGAATTATGACACGCATCAAAATAGCGGTGCTGGTGATCTGCTTGAACAGTTTGTCACAAGTCTTGAGAATGATACTTTGCTGCTGGTAGCAGTGAAGACCTCGGGTCATAGGTACCTTATTTCACCTTTATTTCACCTACGAGTTTTAAGATTTAAAATATATCTTATTTCACAAGTGATCCTATACAATGGCTGGTGGGGAGACACCTTTTTATAGGGTCGAAATTAAGGTCGATCCTGTTGTAGCTTACATGTAGGTAATTTCCTGATAATTCTTGGATGCTAAATGTGATCATATAATTGTGTTTTCTTAAGAATATCAGCGAAAGGTTTAAAAGCCCTGTATAAAGTCGGTGCGAAGTCATTGGATGCCCCTCCTATCAATACAGCATCAGTACTTGTAGGGCTAACAGGATCTCTTGCGGAATGGATTCGAGAAACCTCTGCCGCAACACCTGGGGAATTGGTCGCTACTAATATCATAATTCCATTAAAAAAAGGTNATAACATGTATTGGCATTGATTCCTGTTTTACCTTACGTAAGAATTACGTAGGTCACACGAAAAGCACCTTATACGTACAACTGCGCATCTGTTACACTGCGAACGCTTTTTTTATGGACTACATTTTCAATATTTCCGTATTGCGTACGTCATGCATATGACGCACCTTACAATTGCGTTTCCGTACGTTACATCAGATCTTTGTTTATCATTCCAGGTCAATAACAAAGAGTATTGCCCGGACAAAGATGGTCATAATATTGTGGCATTCGATTACAAATCAGGGMAATTTCTTGCTGCTAAGAATTATGACACGCATCAAAATAGCGRTGCTGGTGATCTGCTTGAACAGTTTGTCACAAGTCTTGAGAATGATACTTTGCTGCTGGTAGCAGTGAAGACCTCGGGTCATAGGTACCTTATTTCACCTTTATTTCACCTACGAGTTTTAAGATTTAAAATATATCTTATTTCACAAGTGATCCTATACAATGGCTGGTGGGGAGACACCTTTTTATAGGGTCGAAATTAAGGTCGATCCTGTTGTAGCTTACATGTAGGTAATTTCCTGATAATTCTTGGATGCTAAATGTGATCATATAATTGTGTTTTCTTAAGAATATCAGCGAAAGGTTTAAAAGCCCTGTATAAAGTCGGTGCGAAGTCATTGGATGCCCCTCCTATCAATACAGCATCAGTACTTGTAGGGCTAACAGGATCTCTTGCGGAATGGATTCGAGAAACCTCTGCCGCAACACCTGGGGAATTGGTCGCTACTAATATCATAATTCCATTAAAAAAAGGTAAAAAATCCAGAGTGAAATTGCTGAAAACTATACCCTGTTCCAGAGTAAAATCGCTGAAAACGATATTCTGTTCCAAAGAAAATCTTGTACTAGCTTGCGTGTAGACCGAATTTTTACCCCGTGAATTTTTACCCAGCATCGAAATAATTCCGGAATTAAACCCTGACCCWGTTCCAGAGAAAATTCGTTGAAATCGATACCCAGTCCCAGAGTAAAATCGCTGAAAACGATACCCTGGTTGGCGGCACGTCTCCGTATAGCGAATATAGGGGATAATGGTGTAATTTAACATTGAACTATTTCCTGCGTATGCGAGAAAAATTTCTAGAAATATAGATCTCATCTAAAGCTATATACGCCAAGTTTAAAAAAATRATATTAACAATAAGGAAAAACAACAATAATTTTAATAACAATAGTGAAAAAAAACAATACTAAAAAATGCTTGAGAACTAGCGCATTTCCTTTGTCACAAAAATCAAAATTTGATGCCACATTTCAATATACATTTGACTTAAGTTGAGTACAAATGTTTTTTTTTTTTTCAATCATTAGAAATCCAACCTAGTCATTACTGGCCCCTCCAAAAGGTCGATTACTACAGAAAAAAGCAAAAAAATAAACACTATTACAAGCATATGCGAGATGTTGAAGGTGGAATGGATATCGAGTATGTTCATAGTATGTACATACGAATGGGACTGTTAATCATGAGGCCGCATCATATGTACACTAGAACTGGCTGGGTACCAAACAGTTGCTTCCTAAAACCCTCAAAGTGAGTATTTCATAGTTAGAGGCAGGAATCACTAAGAATCACGGGCTTCCTGTCTTTTTGAGGAGTCAAAAGAGGGAGAATGGGGGCGAGAGCTCGTCACTAGTCCCTAACGGGCAAAATGACCGTTACAAAGGAAGCCCAAAGCAGGAAAAAAGAGTTGCCTGTGAAGAAGGTAAAGTTAGAGATTGCACCGATCGGAATGAGCGAATCTCATCATAGGTGGAGAAAAATTATAGACAGTCTTCCAAACAATAAAACAAAACCTAACCTAACAATAGAGCTGTAAGGTGCAATCAAAAGCACGTTTCGATTGGTGCTTTGTTTACTGCTGTTGGAAGTTTTTGTTGTCAATGAATAGACCTCTGAAACTTTTGCGACATATAATGCATTGTAGGATACGATTGTGACAAAACATGGCAGATTTTTAATTGTTTTCTCCAGAAACTAATTCCACAATTCATTGCAAGTCAAGTAGGTAACGTAAAAGATTCCGCAGTCTTTTATAGACAGTATGCAGCGAGAATGCAGCGACGCAATTTTGTGCAGCAAAGCACGAGACGGTATTTCATGTAATCCTCACACTTCTTATAGAGACCCTAAAATATTAAAAGCCTTTTTTACGTTTTTCCTGTAGAAACGGCAAAAGACATCTATTTTGACTTCGAAGAATCAAAAACATTTCAGGAAGGACTGTTTTAGTGGACATAAAAAAGTACAAGGACGACAACTACCATCATGCTTTGCTGCACAAAATGGCGTCGCTTTACATTGCCTAATAATCGATCTTAATCGATATCACAATCGCACCTTAACATAACGTAGAATCATTGCCTTTAAAAAAGGTATCAGTCTTATAAGTAATATCCTGTCTCTGCTCTAGTACTAAAAGRTTTCTTGTCTGCAYAGCTGCCTCGGAGGATTAACAGTTTCAGCCTGGATAAAATTTGAACACCMATCGTTTTTATTTGGAGAAACACAAGAACCTTTTGACAAAATACCATGTAAGCTTTCACATGATTTCTGATTGTGCCTACGTTTAGAAAAAAATATTAAAAGCAGTTATCAGCAAAGTAACTAAAGATAACTAAGTGAMATCCCCTATGGCTGCAGTCTTTCTAGCATCTTTTGACAACAGAATGATATCTTGGTGTAAATTGTAATTCAAATGATAAAAGAGATGGTAAACGCTGCTAATTCTATATTTGTTTATTGATTTTCTTAGTTCATAGGACGTACATCCATTTTTATTCGCACAATTCAGGATACATTTCCATTGAGGGCAAGAAACGATACATGGTTGATAAAGGACATCATGTTATTCTAATGGACTACGCAACAGGTGTGTTTACGATCGTTCAATTGATTATCGCTGATCGATTAACCTCTCTGATGCAARATTGCCTTATATTGCCTTTATAGATTTCACTTTTTAAATTTGATATAATTAAAATTGCTCMAAAATTTCCAACCTGATTCTTTGCATTAGTTGTTTGCTTGCTARTAAAGCGCATGTCCGGATGGTTGAAACATTGATTGACTAGCTGGGTGTTTAATTGATTGATTTACTGRTTGACTGAGTGTTGATCGATCGCCGAGCGATTGATTGAATGAGAGATTGAATTATGGTTGATTGATTAACCCATGACTAAATTGCATAATTTGATTAATTAATTATTTATTTAATCGAACGTGCATGTTTGTACTTTGTTCCCAAATGTCAACGGCTATATTTCAGGAAAAATCAGAGGTGAGGCGATATTCAAAATTCCGACGGACAACACCGCAGAGCATCGGTTCGCTCATTTTATAAACACTGCTCCTAATGGCACGATTGTTCTGGTGAATGGCTGGTACAAAAGCTATATAACCTCTTCTGATCTCATCAAGGCTTTGAAATCAGTAGGCGCTCGTGAACCACAGCACAATCCGACATCTATATCTAATCAAATATATATGCTTGTGGGATACAAAGGTTTGGACAAAATGAAATGGATCGAAGAGGCAAAACACAATTATGTRACTTCAGGAACCCTGCGAGTAAGAATACCTACATTTGGAGGTATATGTTAAGGAAATGTCTAATTACATTTCTTTTATAAAATTTTTCGAGCGAAAAGAAAATTTTGCCGGTAAGCCGTGTCTCTGTCCTCTGATGATAAACACGGTCGTCAGCCAATCAGAGCGCGCGTTATATATCAACAATTTTATAAATGAATATATCGCACGCATGTTTTGGCAAACTTGAATCTAAACTTGATTTATAATATGTACTTTTTCGAATGGTTTAAATAGGGCATTAACTGTAATTATCAGTGTCACTTTGATAAAAGATGAAGCATGTCATCCAGCATTAGGTTGAATCAAATTATTCAAATCAGCGCGCGGTGGCTATTTCGGCAAAGTATCGAGAAGTCATAAACTAATTAAATTATTAAATAATCTTCGATTTCATAGTATCGGTTATATCATTTTTAGCGTGGATCTCCGAGCTTGGGATGCAAGATGGAAGAATTCGGGGTTGGCAGATTTGGAGTCATTCTACAGGCAGTGGCGTCCCAAAATACGCCCGRCTTTATGGAGTTGCCCCTGGATGGATTGAAAGTGACCCCACTATGAAACTGAGCATACACCTGGGTGTGCCTCACATACTAGTGGGTATAATAACACAAGGAAGTAGCACTGAACAAGCATGGGTAACATCATACAAGCTAGATTACAAATTTGGAAAGAAAGGTCGCTGGAATAAAGTGCAGGATRATGGCATACCAACGGTATTTATATCATTACTAAAGACCACAGGCAGCCCAACCACTATTCATTTTTAAACTGGTTACCATTTATACAGTGAAACCTCTTTTATCCGGCCACCAAATGTATACCGGAAAGTGGCTGTAGTTAATGGGTGGCCGTAAGTTCATGAAGGTGGGGTTCCACTGAACAAACATTTCAAAAAGGCTGTCCACGGCGATTTATTAAGAAAGCACGACCAAAATGCACCATAATAGACCTCTGCAGCTTTTACGTCATGTACCGTATACGCAATGCATTGTAGGATATGTTTGGGACAGAACATGGAGGATTTCTTTTGTTTTCTTTAGAAACTGATCCCACAATGTATTGAAAATCAAGTAGTGACGTAAAAGGTTCAGAAGTCTATTGTGCTTCATTTAGTTTCTCGTTTTTTTCCCTAGGAATTCGTGGGTAACACAGACCAACATACTCCAGTACGACACACCTTGCGACAACCAATAAATTTGCAAAAGATACGAATTATACCAATTACTGTCAAAAGTAAAATAGGATTGAGACTTGAGTTGTTGAAGCTAAATAACGGTATGTGTACATTTACACACTTATGTACACATTTACACATTTACACACTTACCCCGGCAAACTTACACACCTACAGACTTACACACTACACACTTATTTCAAAACACGTTGTCGGGAATAACGGCCAGCGGCGATTGCATGAACAATGGACAATGGTTGCCCTGTTAAAATTTCACTTGCTGGGCTCACCTTACTCATTGATAATGGAAATTATAAATGGAGCCAATGGTTACCATAGACTAGCTTACAGTATAAATCGGTTATTGTTTCCTATCAATTGGCAAAACCCATGACTCTTTTCGGTCGTGCAATCAGTGCCTTTTGACAATTGACATTCGACATTTTTTCCGACAACCTTTCTTGAAGTAGGTRTATATGAAAAAGATCAAAAAACTGCTCCGTCGTCACTGATGTTCGGACAAAATCTATATTTGAATCAGGGACGCGTGTTTACTGGGCCCAAGTACTGATTTGTAGTATTTGTTCCTGTACTCCAATACAACCAACCACCTCTAACGAGGACTATTGGGCGGGGTCGCTTACTCACTCATCACATGTAAAATGTGAGCCACAAGGGCAATGCTTTGAATTTTATGTATTATTTTAGCTTATAGATGGATGGACAAGCAACCAAGGCCTTACAAACAAGAGATTCCAGGTAAATCATCATACCGGACTTGAGCTTTTACCAATTTTGCTTAGTTTACTTCCTAAATCAGTGATCGTATTCGCTCGAGGAGGGAATACCTTCCCCACTATCACTACCTTGAAAGCTTCATATTTTGAGTGTAAATCCCCCCTTTTGAACAGGTGTACACTTCCCTAAATTCATTCGTCCTGCCCTTGGCGACAGGCCCCTTAGTGAAGGAATCATTTATGGAAAATCACTGATGTATGTTCACTGCTTGAATGATATGATACAGATAGCCATAGAGGTTTGGTATTTCAAGGTAAAACAAYGCCTTCCAACCAAAATGTCACAGCTTCGAGTGTGCGTAGTGCGAAAAACAGACCAGAAAATGCTGCACTTTACAACTCAAAGAYGAGTCTTTCGGACGGCTGCTGGTGTCCACACAAAGACCAAAACCAGTTCCTCTCGGTTCACCTGTCCGAGAGAAGTTTGATAACGAGTATCGGTGTCCAGGGATGTCCATCMAGTGATGAATGGATCCAAACGTTTACCGTTCRATATAAAGACATAGCTGATAATGCGTCAAAAGTTTATATGGATAATGGAATGTCTCAGCCAAAGGTACTAATACTTCTAGCATGTCAATATAACGCGTTGTATCATGATATGTATGTTATTGTTACGGAGTGTCTAAAAAACTAAGCGTCAGGCAATCGTTTTTGTTTTGATTTTGTTTTGTTTTGTTTAAATCGATAGAACAACCATTATTTCAAGTAATAGAACAAGAGAAATGGAAAAAAGTTTAATACAATGCTAATAATATAATAATATAATATAATACGAGCTTGGCACTTTGAGATTTTTCGAGTGTTCCGATCCGCCGAAAAAATAAATATCAGGCAGTCGAGTTTTTTGTAAAATATGCTAGAAAAATCAAAATTTCAAGTGGTTCAACAAGAAATTTACCAARATGTAGTAAATACACACTCAGGGAAAGATAGACATAGATCTCAACACAGAACGCGGTCTATTTTAAATATTTTTTTTTCTTCCTTGTAGATTTTTGACGGAAGCTTAGACCGTCACACCGTCGCCAGGTCGTATTTCGAAAGAGTTGTTTATGCAACAACCTTTGAAATTCACCCAACGTCATGGCACGAGCATGCGTGTTTGAGATTTGAACTGTTTGGTTACCGTCTGGAGTCAGGTAAAAAAAAGTAATTTAATGCAATTAATATACTTTCACAAAACTGCTGTACGATTTAGACGTTTGTAGTGAACGAACTGGTTTCACCCAAATATCCATAACGAACAAGTGTCGGTTAGAATTATTTTTTTCAATGGTCACTGAAAATATTGCATATACATGTGTARACCAGGGTCATATCCAGCTCCGTTTTAAGCGGTTGGCAACTCATCTCGGCTATCATCTCCTTCGAGCTATGCGAAAAAAGAGTAGCGAGTGGGTACGTTGGTACTGATTTTGTCCAGTTTGTTCAATAGAGGGGGAACTGATTACAAAATCTTGTAACATTATCAAGATACTTAAAGAAACAAAAATAATACATACACACACATATAAATAAAAAATGTACCATGCGACCATGCTTTTTCCATCATCTGAGCATTTGAACTGAGAAATTAATACCAACARCCAACGTTTTGACGACATATGACGCCATAGACGACAAGGACAACCATTATTTGTTTATTGGTTGTCATAGTAATGAGAGCGATTCTTTAATTAAGTGATAATGATAAAACCATTGTTAATTTGGTCTGTGATAAGTATTACCGAGTTTTGARATGACTGCAAGCTCTTATTTTATTTAAGTGTTGAAATGTTAACAATCTGGGTTCAATATTCACACAACTTTCATCATAAACTCTTGATAAACAAAATGCGTGAGCGTTAGTTACCGTTGCTACGAAAATAGTCTTTCWGTTGACACTGTTGCCATARTTTATATWTGTTTGTTTGTTTTTTGTCATGGCGATCGCTCTRTTTATTCGTATAAACATTGTGATGTTTAATTCACCCAACACAACTTYATATCATTACTTGGACTCTTGTCTTGAACCAAGATCAGTCATTCTAAGATTGAACGCAACTATGAATCAATTTTCTGCAAAATGCGGACAGATAAGCAAATTCCTACGCCCTATTCATGGAGCCGGAAAAAAAACAACAAAAGAATCAAAGAAAAGAAAGGTTGGACTATGGAGTCGACAGAGGTTGTCAAATTGCTATGCAAGAAAGATGGTCGACGATGACGAAGAGTCTCCGTTCATGATGATGGAGTTCCCAATCAGACGAAGTGAAGGATGCCACTCGGGAATAAAAATGGCAGACAGAAAGGCTAAGCAACAAGTTCCACAACAGCGGGATATTTCTCTATCTTTGCCAGGAAAGAGAGTGGACGACGACGACGAGTCTCCATTCATGATACTAGAGTTCTCCAAGTCGAAAATTAGGTCATGGAACCGAAAGAACTGACTTCAAAAATCGTGTGAATAAAAAAAACACTGATTTATCTATATAATATTGAAACATGATGCTACGGTGAAATGTTTTTATTTGTGGTTATTTATGATCTTTTAAAATTATATATGATATATTTATGTTAAATGTAAAGAGTTTTTGTCAAAAACTGTCGAATATTCACTATAAGGATAATGTATCTTTAATTTACATTCATTTTAGTCAGTAATTAACAATGAGTAATATCATGTACTAAATGTCACTCCTTTTCAGTTAATAATGTTATCGTGTTTAAAGGGATACTCTAGAGCCTCAAATCACTACCTCACTTTTTGTCAAAAGATACGTTATKATTATAAAATCACATTTTCAAAGGAAAAACGAAATAATTTTTAGTTTTTAGCCTCAAAAACAACACATTTAGAAGGGGAAATATTTACTTCCGGTCCAGCCGCGGCAATCGGAAGTGACGTAGAAGAGAGAACTTATTTGCACGTTGGAGAAGGCGAAAACAGTTTCCCGCGGTACAATGTAAAACAATTTCAATCATGCCACAACGATGTGTCGCTGATAATTGCTCTAATACCACAAAAGATGGCATCAGTCTTCATTCGTAGACCTCGAATGAAAAAATATCAAAACTATGGACCTCAAGAGTGAGAAATACAAGCGGATTTTCGACCTACCTCATCAAGAAGTTGCGCAGTGCACGCTTTTCGGAAAGTGATTTTCTCCCACAAACACTGCTTGCTAGTTCTCTTGGACTAAAAATGAAAAGTATTGGGAGGAGCCGACGGGTTACTGGGAGAAATATATCTGTTCTTATGTCCCAGCCATCAGCTGTAAGTCACAACTGGTTGCCAGCGAGAAATTCAGGAAAAAAGAAATTTCCCGGCAAAGAATACTTTCTAAGTTTTTTTGCCAGGAAAATAAAGATTTTCAACTGAAAAATAAAAACCGTTTTTGTCAATTAAAACGTTGTATAAGCCTTTTTGACCTTAAAAACGTTCGCCTGGAACAAAATTGTTTTAAAGAAGGAAGGGCACCACATTTACATGCTTGTGATATTGTCAACAATGCGGTAGCTCAAAATCCCTTTCCCAGGAAAAATTCGTAAAAGAACAGTTGTTTAGAAGAACAGACCCTGTTTGCTCCTCCTGAAGTATCCTAAAAGATGAAGCCGTACCAAGCATCGTTGTTCGTGTTGTTGACACCCCAAAGGCAGAGAAAAGAAAACRAGAAACAAGTAGCGAATCTCCTCGTTCTGCATATAGAAAACGAGAAGACCATACTAGGGTAAGCAATTCTTACTGAACTGATATGTCAGACACAATATTGGCAAAAATACATGGTCACTGTAATATTTTTCAATTTAGATCGTTGAAGGACACAACGAAGTATTAGGAAAGTGAGTCTCAGGTGAAACTTGAAGGCATTAACCGATGCACGCAGGTTCACAAACATCGCCTATTAAAACCTCAGCTTAACATTTTGCACTCCAGGTCAAAACTAAGGTGAATTGCAAAGGTAATAATGTGATTGCTCACGACTAGTTGGTAYATCTGTAGACTTTGTTGGCTAATAGAATAATATAATAATAGCAAATTATCTTATTTTGGCATGGACTACTACAGTTCGAAATCACTTTGCAACTAAGAGCTTGGCTTTCTCACATCATGAAATGATAGCAGGTAAAAACATCTTAACAATTTACATGGGGTACGTTACTGAAATCCAGAAATGTTTCAATTTCCTTTCAAATGTGTATTATATGGCATTTTTTYCCTTTTTTTGGCGGATGGGACAGAGTGAGGCAGCATAATATTTCCAAAATACAAGAAAGGCAAACACACAGTACAGAAAATAGAGAGCATCTATTCATTAGCGCATCTTGTTTCAGGATATGTTTCTGCGCTGAAAAATAGTGCTCAAAATCCTAGAAGGTGAAGAGAGTTTACAGTTAGAACGAGCTAATGCTCCCCAATTCCTTTCATCTGCTTATGAAAAACCATATATGTATTATCCTTGAAATCAAGATTCAGGAAGTAAAAACCCTGGTCAATATATATATAATGTACAGTGATATTAATGCAAATGATTAGAAAAAATTACTCATAAGAAATCTTGAGACTGTCATTTAGATCAAAAATACAATTTCCAAGTGTAAAGAAAATTAATTTCATTTAATATTTGTAATGATAATGCTTTGATAGTGAGGCCGGGTTTAGGTATTTTGTTAAATAATGCACATTAGAGTAAATTACTAAATATGTGAACTGTGAGAGGCAAGTGGTAATACAATAAAACAATAGAAAGCAATAGAATATTGCAAACAATGTGGTTTTGCACTTTACAAGGTGTTTCTACACAAGCACACTATTCATCAACATACCTAAATCCCTCAAACTAAAAATCATCCTCAAGACCTGGTGGGGGAAAGTGTGCTCTTTTGCAACACACAGCACAGGATGGGAGTGGCACTCTGATATCCTTTCCAAGAAAACCCCAGCACAATCTTATAATCTGCCTGTATGCTATATGCCTGTTTTTCTTGTGTTCTGGACCATCATAGCTATTGYTATATTGTTGTTTACATTGGTACCATGCCGTTTGCAGGACCCATCGATTCAAACAAACAGTATCATATGGAAAGCCATCCCTTCATATTCGCCAAAGATTAAGGCAAGAGTGTTTTTGTTCAAAACAGCTACATGAAATTAGTTTTACTATTGAATAGTTAAATTGTGAATGGCCACATTATCTTCATCTTAATACCGAGTGTATTTTTTGTGGATATATAAACAATGTCTCTTCCTTGTTTTGTYGAAGAAAACATCTTGAAAAGCTTACGTAATACGTACTGTATCAGTCTGTGTGTTTTGCAGTCCAGATATGTGGAATTTTCCTCTGAATTTACTTCTTCAGAGCTAGCCTGGCTATCATATGGCTCAAATAAATACGGCTGTGWGCTATCTAGATCGGAAAGAGACTCCGAGGAAGAAAAAATAGAGTAGAGTTTGAACTCTGAAAAGAACCTCCCGACTGCCATCGAAGCTCAATGACGGACATCTGGGGTGTTTACCATTTACACAAAATTTCCGGAAATTTTCGGTTCAGCGACCACAATTTCAAATGGAACACACTTTTCCCGATTTATTTGCATAACAAATTATCGGGAATTCCGCTTTGAAGCTTATTGGAACGCATCCTATTCCAAATTTTCAACGAGAATTTCCGGTAAACTTTGGTGCTGGTCAAAGAGTACTCCCTTTCCTCCCGTTCATTATTAAGAAAGTTGGTCGAGAGAGTAGCTGTAAAGGCACGACAGTTA